GGGTACCGTCAGAATTCATCCAAGCATATAATAACTTTCTCCCAGTTATAGATACGAGATTGACCTTTTATATTGCCTTCTAAGGCAATGAGAAGAGAGATCTTAGGTTCATGATAAAAATAACATATTTACATATTTACACATATTCACGTTTTTCTGATAGTAGAAGGTGGGGGACCGAGTGGATTGTTGAATAAAAATCCTCGAATCTCACCTGAGCTGCGAAAAAATATTTTAAGACTGCTGTAAGTTCTTCATAAAAGACTGTTGTTAGCCCTCTAGTGAAGAAATCAGTAAAGTGCCTCCTGGTCAAGATGATTGAATCATTGAGGCTTATGCTTACAAGTGAGGTATATTCTTGTGCCTTGTTGCTGCCCTCATCTTTGACTTCAGCATGCCCTCTTTATGAAAGATAAAACTTCTTTGCCTCCTACTAAAAAATTGAACTGCCACCAGCAAAGTGAAGGAAGGGATGGGATTGTAACAAGTTTAATAAGATTTTTCTCACCAAAAAAGAAAGCTATCTCTTTTGTCATTGGCTTTTTCTCCACTGCATTTATGTCTTGACATTCAAAGGTTCAAATAATTGCTTGGATCATTTAATATTCCTAATTGCTGGTGTTTGATATGATTTCATCATCTGCAATCAATTTGCTTATTCTGAGGATTGAAGTCAAATGTTGCTGCTACTGCATAATATCCTTTGGACAGCTGTGATCATGCACTGAATAATGGATACTTACTACTCGTTGTAGCTAAAATTTCTAGCTCTGAAATTAGTCATTTAAGTTATGCTTAGAACAAATGAATTTTATTTGTGGAATTCACTTAGACATGTACGTTTATTTTAACTGAGGCGGTAAAGATTCCTCTCTAAATGGTAAAAATTAAGTTTCTAGACAATTCCAAATGAATTTTATAAAAAAAAAAAAAGAATATTATTCGTTCCCATAATAGCATTGTCACTTGAATTGTTTGCACTGTGAACTGGATTAATTGTTTGCACTGTGAACTGGATTAATCTGTTCCTATATGGTTTACTTCCATATCATGTTTACACATTGCTGATTTATGGTTTGCAGCTTAAGCCCTATGTGTCCCAATGCCCAATAGAAGTCAAAACTGCTGAGGCTCCAGAATCTGCTAAATAATCAAATGGAGATAATTGCTTCTGCTGCCTGTCTGCCATGATCTTGAGTTTCTTTGATTTGGCATGTAATTAGGCTAGCTGAGTGAAGTTAGCACTGCTCGATTTTGTCCCCATTTAGTTAGTTGCGATCTGTTCGAATGATTCCTTGTTTAGTTCTTAGTTGTGATATGTTTGAATTAGCTCCTTGAGATATTTGAGGGTAATCTATAGGGTGTCAAAACTATTGGATATTGATTCACGATCCTTATCATTCAAAGGTAGGTAAATGTTCTTATGGTGTTCACCGGGTAGGAAACTCTATATAATAAATCCTTTGCTTATCTTATTCTGCTAACACTGAAGGTCTAATTTACCCAGTATCCTGATATATGGGTTCCTCAAGAAGATTAATTTCATTGAAATGGGTACTGAGACGTTGTATTTTTGTTCTTTTCTTAAGAGGTATGTTTTTCTGGCATGGGACTGTTCTCCCAAATAAAATCTAAAGTAATATTAAACTATCATTATAAATAAAATTTAAAATATTATAAGTTAATTTATGTTTAATTCAAATCAAGTATTTTTTTAAATGTGCAAAAATACAAAATTGAATCAATTAGATTATCTGCTGGTAGAAACATTTTCTGTAGTTTTTTTTTTTTTGG